TACAGTTACTGTTGACCACTGAATTATATATATATATATATATATATATATATATATATATATGGTAATTGAATTTGATATATTTATTATAAATGTATATTATTTATGCGGCTTTTAGAATCAAAATAATATATTTACTTGACGCCGTAAATATGTATTTCATCAGTAACAAATAATCCAATCAGCAAGTAAAATTTATTAATATTTGTATCTTGACGCCGATTTAAAAAGAAAAATAATTTTGTTTATCAAAAAAAAAAATAATTTTTTTTTTATAACTCTGAAGATACTTTTTAATTTTTCGAAAATTAATAAAAGACGGTCGACGTTAATATTTTTCTTTACATAAAATTCATTTTTAAAAAGTTTATTATTTTTTTCAGTTTCGTCCCAAAAATTACAATTTGTAAAATATTAATTTATTACAATTTTAGAATCATATCACTGATATACTGTTAATAATTATTAGCTAATATTTAGTCACATATTTGAAACAAAAATATTTTTATATTTTTATTTTAAGTGAATAGGCTATGTGAGCTGCATAGGCCTGGATGTTAGATCCAGCTTAAGAGAGAAAAAAAAGCAGTTAATGAAAATCTAAATATTTTTATTTTTCTTCTTTTTAGATTTCCTTTGACAAATTTGTAGTCTTCTGCTTCTTCCTAGCAATCATAATCTTTATCACATTCATATAGATCGCAATAACAGTGTTCATGTTCTTTGAAGACAAAAGCTACAAAATTATTTTATTATTATATGTACAAAATTATATTTGTCTAATAATAATAATTTATTAGTATTATTCTTCACTAAAAATATTTATAACAGTTATAGCATTTTATTATTCTTAATAACATTTACAATTTTAATATTTTATTTTCGTCCCCCATCACAAAAAAATCCTACGTCCGCCTGCTGCTTAGTCCAAAATACTCCAATTAATCACCGATTGTGTGCGACCAACCCGAATTTCGATCAGATATATGGACTCTTACTGTGAGTTGTGTGATATAAGATAATAGGGTTTATTATCTATCATTTAACATGATCACAAAAAGTTTCCTACACATACAATATTTTGTGGGGTCCACAACAAAAAAAAAAAACTTCGACACGCAAAACGAATCTCTATAACATAACACAATCACTTTTGTTACAACATAACTCTTATAAAACCCAAGAAAATATTGATGTAAAAGTCTAGACAAGTGGATGATAATTAATGTGGGGTACGACTTTGGTAGGTTCCTTAATACATGGCTGGCCAGTTTGCATGTATCACGGGGTTTCCAATTACTTGGTCCTATTTGGACTAATGCATTCCAATTTTTATTTTTATTTTTATTTTTAAATGAATTCCAATTTTATTGAAATGGCCTTTTTTTGCACATCTGAGCCTAGTAGGCATCACAAACCGTTCAATACGATAAATATATGGGATTTACTAATCTATATCAACATAAGAGAAGGTATCTACTACTCCCTCACAATTTTGTGATGGGACCCATATAATTATAAAATAAAAAAATAAAAGTAAAAAAGCTAAAAATTTATGTCTCGGTAAGAAAGTAAACTACTCTCCTATGGCTGGAGCCTAATTTTTCCCTAAATGTATATATCTTATTATATATAGTATTACATGAAATTAACGTAAATAAGATTTTGTTCAAATTTCACAGTGAAAGATACCTTCGTTACAAGCATAGCATAAGATTTCGGGTACAGCACAGAACATATATCTCTTTTTTTTTTTTTTTTTTTTTGATAACAACATATATCTCTTTTAACTGACCACGATATTCACAATTACATCGAGCTAGATACATATGACAACATACCATAGATATAAAAGTCTAGTTACAACTACATCTTGTTATTGGTGGTGGCGTAAACAGAATAGATAAACAGCGAGATATGTGTTATAGCGATAACAATAATAAATCACAAAAAAATAATGCAAACAAATAGAATACTATCACAGCAAAATAGACTAATAGAGTCCAATTGCAAGAAATAAACGCGAGTCCGGTATTATGTACTATGTCCTTATGGGCATTTAGTGGAGGAGAAAAAAAAAAATTATCCAAAAGAATCATGATTTCTGAAAATATGAAAAGTGAGTTTCTCGGAATGTTACTAAAAAATTGTTTGAAAAGTCAAAATATTCAGGAAAATATTAAATTAATTTTCTTGATAATATGTTTTGTTGATGATAAAATATTACTGGAAATGTGAATTGAAGTTAATTATGTCCAAAAAAAAACTATCATATATTCTCGTGAGATTCTTAAAATATCACCTATTTGATGGTGTTTTAAGATAGAATTTTTCTTCGTAGATATGAATATTGGGAATCCAACTTTTTCGAAAAAAAATTTACAATCCTCATATCAAAAGTGGCTAAATCGAATTCTCAATCTCACTTTTTCAGAATTTTAAAAAAATTTCTTCTACCAAACATCCCTTTATAGTAATTTTGCCCTCTCAACTGTGCCTAAAACAAATTACCTCATTTTGATCAATCACACATAAAGCAGAAATATGAAAATTACATAATCTGTTTTATTTTCCCCCAACTTTGTTAGCCTTATTTATTGGGAGCAGGCCTATTGACAATGGCATGATTGGCATCCACTACTTCAGCCTCCAAACAGCAATTTAGATAGTTAAGACTTAAGAGTCTCACTCACTTGTAGTTCCTAGCATAAAATCTGCAACTGTTTTTGCTTACTTCTTCTGGTGATAAACGTTGTCGAACATGGTTTTTCACAGTCACTTCCAGACCAAGCCAGTTATCCTTCCATAACATGGTTGAGTGTCCATCACCTATCTCCCACCTTAAACCTTCGAGCAACTTAGGCCAATACTTATAAAGGCTCTGCCACATTTGCTAACCAATATTTGAACCCAAAGTTCTTCTGGTTTGGTAAAAATGAGCCAACTTAATTTATTCAAATGAGCCTCATTGTGTTTTCTTTATCACCCCAAATAAAGCTTCTCTGCATTTTCTCAACTTCATCACAAATACAAACTAGTAATAAACTATTTTGCGTTTGAAATGCTGGGATGCTCGATATTATAAATTTTGAAAGTGTTATTATCCCTGCAAATAACAAAAACTATTTCTACCACCCCTCTAGTTTACTTCAGACCCTGTCTAAAATCTTATTACAATGAGATTTAGTTGTTCCTCCATGCCTTCATAAGTTATAAGGGTACCAAGGTACCTACCCAAGTTAGTTGTACGTTTGAACTGGGACGCAAGAATTTTTGGCTACTCACTTTTTGACCAGACATCTCTTCAAATCTATGGATGCAAAAAATCATTAGATCATCCGCAAACATAATATATAATATGAGACTCTCCAGGCCCAGTTATACTAACCTTCATAGGGTTCCACGGTTCAGCTTCCACACAATCAGCTATGAGATGGATAATTTCTCCATGCAAAGAACAAAATTGTAAGGGGACATAAACATAGGATCCCCTTGACCAATGCCCCTATGAGGAGAGATGGTCTTAGATTTAGCTCCATTAATCAAAATTGAGGCTATATTTGTAGTAATGGAGGACATAATAATGTTGACCATCTAGTAGGGAAGATCAATGTAAGTATCTTTTTAATAAAGTCTCGACTCAGCTTCTCATATGTTTTTTCCAAATCAATTTTAATTACCATGTACCCTCTCTTTCTTTTCATCCTCCTCATTGTATGAGTCAGCTCCTCCTGAGCAATAATAATAATATTGGCTTGAATATTTCTTATTGGCACAAAGCTCGGAGACACCAACTTGCCAAGCACAAGTTTCAACATCTCCACTATAACTTAGTTTATTCTTTTATATAAAACATTATACAAGGAAATTGATCTACACCGAGAAATCAATTCTGGCTTATTCACTTTTGGAATGAAAGAAATAAGTGTTTGGTTGATCTCTGCAATAGCATCAGGATTTGTTATATAATCCAAGACATATTTACAAACTTGTTCACCCACAATATGCCAACTTTTATGGAATAGCTACTTCTGCGCATCAATGAAATTGAATGCCACCATACTAAAGCAGCATAAACAGTACAATCCACCACTATATTAGAGATGCTTCAAGCTCAATTATGATTTTTTATTCTATCTTAACAAAAGCTCATAACTCATATATTGACTCAAGCGTTAGAGTATCTTACAGGTACCCCCAAGTCATCCCAACCAATCAAGAAATCTTGCCTCAAATCCTTCATCTCATAGAACATCTCACAACGTCACAGAGCATCCGGAGCAATCTTCTCGCAGTACCCATTCCAGCAAAGATTCAACCAAGCTATTGGATCACGCTCAACCGTGTGTAATCCAATCCAATTCCTACTATTGGATTGGCCAAGATTGAAAAAAAATTCCTTATATTTAATTTAAAATTTTGAACAAAGCCACTAACTTTTGGATCGCTCCAAGAGTACTCTACAACCGACAGCCAAAGACTAATCCCTTCGAGGTTGAGAGATCGCTGAAATAGGTATAGCCTTTACCAACAAAGTTTTTTCCATACACACGATTAGGAATCGAGTGACTAACTTTTAATATGTATATTCATAAGGTTATTGATATTCACCACTAAATAGTAAGTTTGATATTAAAAAAGGAAAATAAGAACTGACATAAATTTAATTATAACGTACCCATTCATTGAGCACTAATAAATACTATTTTTAGATTTAAAAAAAAAAAAAAAAACCTTATGTTTTATGTATCTCATGTGATTCATTATCTGATGTATCACTTAATCCTTGCAATTACAATTAGTATTATTTAACTTGAATACCAAAAATACTCTTATTCTATAAAATGTCAAAAATATACTTAACTAACAAAACGCTGAATTATAAATGAAATATCAAAAAAGCATAATGTGGTCGATAATAAAAAATTAGACAAGTACCTAAGAAAATAATTTTTAATATCAGAAGAAACCTAATTCCATAACAAAAATGGGGTAGATAGTCTATCTTTTGGGTAAAACTGGACAAGTAGCCAGTCAGCCTATGCACTTCCCAAGGAATGCTTACATTCAAAACTATGCCCCAATGGATATTCAACTTCAATTTTACAATTTGATTAAAATTCCAAGCAAGATCCGGTTTCAAATGAATTGCCAGAGGAAATAGAGACAAAATTACAGCTGTAACTATACAGATGATCTTATGATCAGACAAATAAAGTAGATTAGAGAGACTTCCCTCCAATAGAATACAAAAGATTCACTCGTTTCTGAACAAAAAAATTATATCTGCTGCTCCAAGTATAGTTGACACTTTTGAAGACAGCAACTAATTTACTAGACTAGCACATTCAAGTTAGTTTGAAGCCTACCAACCACAATGGAAACAAAAAATGCTCATCAATCATTGCTCCTCTTTCTGCTTTTTGACAAGAACTTCTCTCAGTCAAACTTCACAGTTTTTCCCTCTTGCTGCTGCTTCAGCGGTTCAGTAGGAAAGTATTTTATACCAACTAAATCACCAACATTGCTGATAACCTAGGAAAGGGGAAAAATCCTAACAAATTATAACATAAAATATATCGTGCAAGTAACAGATTTCAACAAATTCTTGCAATAAGACGAAGACACACATTGATCCTCGATATCTAATACATTGGAAAAACCTTTGGTAGAACACATGGCAAACACACAGCGATAGAAAAGGTGCAGAAAACTATACAGCTACCATTCTAAACTAAGGTGACACATTCAGAATCAATTAATTGATGCATTTTGTATGAAGTTAATCAGTGAATGGAAGTCAAAATATATACCTGCAAGGCTTTGATAAGGTCTTCCCTAGAATGAGAAGCAGATATGCATATGCGAGCTCTGGCCAGTAAGAGTGGCGTTGCTGGAAATGCCACTGTCACAACAGCAACCTAAAACAGGACCATTCAACAATATAAACATTAATCAATACATATATATATATATATTTGGATGATAATGATGTTCTCACATTCTGCTTGAGACACCCCCTTGAGAAGGCAGGGATTTTGGCGGGATTGTAAAGCATGATTGGCATTACAGGAGAATCATTATCCCCAAGAACCTCAAATCCCATCTTCTGCAGTTCTGATCTGAAAAAATTGCTATTTTCTCGAATTTGTGCAAGTTTCTGGGCACCTATAATGCAAAGTAAGCAAAGTAGATGCATGTATACATTAAGGATTGATGCAACTGGTGCGAGCAAAAAGACAAAAAAAGCAAAAGTGCTAGCCAAACCTCTATTGGAACCATCCTCTCCAAGAATAACTTTTATGGAAGATATTATTTGTTGTGCAGCTGGTGGTGAAATTGAAGTTGCATAAAGATGAGCAGGACAAGTGTACTTCAAGTATTTGATAAGCTCCTGACAATAGATCCAGAGTTCAACTTAAGAATCCAGCTTAAAATATAGTACTAGTAAGTTTCAATAATTCTATGATTCAAACTGACAAAGACCAATGTGAAACAATAAACTTTCACACGTGAAACAAAAAGTATTTTACAAGTAGCTCCATGATCTTACTAAGACAGCAAAATTAGATGACTTCAGTCCCATGAAACTAAAACTTCCAAGTTCCCCTTATCTTCTGACTTCTATAGGTCCTTTCATTTTTCTCTTCGCATACAATCATAGTTATTTCATGGCATGCAGCACACTGTTACAACAAGGGTTCATGTTTTGTCATTGAATGTGCATTGCAATGTGCAGAGCAACAATGAAGTGCAGTGCAAATGCATACACACACGCACAGGCAAAAAACTTCATTTATACCCAAAACATAACACAGTATTAATCCTTCATCAATTCCCAAAATCATCAAAAATCCACCTTCTCAGTCAAGACTGAAAATACTGCATTCTATTCTAGATATTGGTTATAGAGTTTCAGGTCTCTGGCCAGCTATGTCCCACCGGCCACAATAGCTACAAGCAGCACACTGTTACAACAAGGGTTCATGTTTTATCATTGAATGTGCATTGCAATGTGCAGAGCAACAATGAAGTGCAGTGCATATTACATTAGATATATTCAATATTTATTTAATTTAACTCAACATAACAATATTATTTTACAAATAAAATGGCAAATGCATACACACACGCACAGGCAAAAAACTTCATTTATACCCAAAACATAACACAGTATTAATCCTTCATCAATTCCCAAAATCATCAAAAATCCACCTTCTCAGTCAAGACTGAAAATACTGCATTCTATTCTAGATATTGGTTATAGAGTTTCAGGTCTCTGGCCAGCTATGTCCCACCGGCCACAATAGCTACAAGCAGCACACTGTTACAACAAGGGTTCATGTTTTATCATTGAATGTGCATTGCAATGTGCAGAGCAACAATGAAGTGCAGTGCATATTACATTAGATATATTCAATATTAATTTAATTTAACTCAACATAACAATATTATTTTACAAATAAAATGGCAAATGCATACACACACGCACAGGCAAAAAACTTCATTTATACCCAAAACATAACACAGTATTAATCCTTCATCAATTCCCAAAATCATCAAAAATCCACCTTCTCAGTCAAGACTGAAAATACTGCATTCTATTCTAGATATTGGTTATAGAGTTTCAGGTCTCTGGCCAGCTATGTCCCACCGGCCACAATAGCTACAAGCACAGCAGTCACTTGACTGGTGGTAGACAAGTCTGGAGAAACGAGATAACAGAGAAGAAAATAAGATGATAGATAGAAGATGAGAGACAGAAACAACATGGACTTGTTAGTGCTAGATGGAAATTTTACAGGGCCCAGGTCTCTGGGATTGTGCTCTTGAGGCACTCGGTTACCGATATAAAGGTTTTCTAAGGAGTCAGAAGTGATTTGAGTTTATTTACCCTTCGTTCTCACCAATTTCCTTGGTGTGTCATTTTTGTGTTGCCCATACCCCATATAGTTCACACAGCATGCCACATGCCTTGGTGCACATTGTGTGTACTAAAGGGAAACATGAAACTTCTTGCGACACGAAGGTTTCTTATGCCCAGCCCCTCACTGCCCTGCACCGCACACTATTGGTGTGTGCAACACTATGCCATTAAGAAATATGGATACAATGAGAGCAACTTGTAATCTCTAGCTGATTTTAAATTTAAAGGAGAAAACAGCATGGCTTATATTCAATAAGAGAGAGAAGATTTCAACATCTCTTCCCATAGATTTTAGTAACTTACAGTCTGCCCTTTAATCACTAAATTTGGAGTCTGATATTTAAATATGCATACAGCATACCTTAGATCCTGCAATGTAACCCCCACATGATCCAAATGATTTGGTGAATGTCCCCATCATGATGTCAATATCAGCAGTATCCACGCCTAAGAGCTCACAAACACCTCTTCCCGTTTTGCCCACTGCTCCAATGCTGTGTGCTTCATCCAAATATGTATATGCCTATACAGCAATGGAAGTTGCAGAAAGTAACCACTTTAACCACTCCCCATGCAGAAAGTAACAATAAACAAAATTAAAATGGTAAATAAAACTTGATGATAAAATTAAACCCCCTTAATGTCTATTTAGGAGAAGGGGGAGGGGGGAGGAATAGAAGGAAAACTTTCTGTTGCTTCCTCTCTCTTTCCCCTTCTCCCAAACAGACTCTAAAGATAAAAGTAGTAGCATGAAAGGTTGTCTTATGACTTGTATCCAAAACTAATTGGGGATGGGGTCATCCTTTTAAAGAGGAAAAATAGGGATTTTCTTATCTCTTTCTTGAGTTCATCGACATTAACATCACCTTTATCTTTGGGATCGGCAGTTGATGAAATATAAGTTTGAATGGAATCCACATTTTTCACAAACAATTTTCATGGACATAACAACAGTTCATTTAGAGAAGTTACAGGATGCCTTATCCCTATAGACTTATCAGTGTATGGGATTAAAACTGATATAAAATACTCCAACTTCCCCCTTCCCAAAAGAAAAAAGAAGGCAAGTGGAATATACATGGTGCAACAGACAGCACAATTTGTACATTAGATTTCAGCTACAACATTAACCAACCTTATATTTTTTGCATACAGCTATGATCTCTGGAAGTTTGCAAAGCTCCCCTTCCATACTGTATATCCCCTCCACGATAACAATTACCTTCTTCCATGGTCTACGGGTCCTTGGCTGTCCCTCTGCAATTTGTTCTCTTAAAACCTCTTCAAGATGTGATGGCGCTGCGGGTAAAATAGCCAAGGGCAAGTAAATAATAATGCTGTGACCATTGGTAGCACCAGAATAGTAATATAAGCACAGCAACGAGACAAAAGGAAAAACCGCAACCCAATGGCCAAGTAAAACATAGATTACAAGAGTTCAAAACCTACATAGACATAACTAAAATCAAAGGTCAGTTTAGTTATGCTTTAATCTTATTCTCCGTTAGTAGAAAAGAAATGTGAACACGTGGGATTTTATTAACCTATTATATTTAGTCAAATGGTAATGGTATGGTGCAGAACAGTAGCCACCATCATCTGCCCCAACCAATAATTGAGATTCAGACCTGTCTTATTCGAAAGGAGAGAGATTCCAATAGTATACAAATGTTATATTTAGAAATTGAAAACCAAACTACTCAATGACAATTCATATCTCTTATTTTGGCATGCAGCCAAGGTACTCACTATTGTGTTGAAAAACACGAATAATTGCTCCAGATCCACGTGCGCCATTAACAATTGAGTTGTGGTTCAATGAATCACTAATGATCAAACCTCCCTATAAAAATATAAATTTATCAATAAATAATATTGCAAATACAATTAGCATCTCTCACCAAAACGAAATCACTGAACATTCTTTACATACCTTCCCCATCAGGACTGGAAGAATAGCAGAGTTTGTCACATAGCCCATACCAAAAACAATAGCAGCCGGCTTTTGAACAAAGTTTGCAACACGTTCCTCCAACTCATTGTGAAGCGCAGTTGTGCCTATCAGAGAAGCCACATTTGAGGCACGTGCATAGATAACCAAACAAAACTTTCTTTTAATTGGTAACACAAACAATATACTTAACCCCCATCCACCCTGCTGCTGCACGTGCTCGGTGAATACTTCTTCAATGTCTCAACTACTCGAGGCGTGCAGTATTCATCAGCTGCAGCAAAACCAAGGTAGTTGTATGATCCCAAGTTGAGACATCTACTCACTTGTGCGGTCCGTCTGCATAAATGAGAGCCACATAAATTACCAATGCAACAACTCCAAAGAAAGAAGCTTGCAGAAAGAAAATCTGGATATTTCGACAATCCCAGAATCCCCTAAAAAAATATAACAACCAAGCCTGAAATTAAAGTAAAGAGTTATACTTTAGTGTCTTGTTATTATCATTCGAGTAGCGTTCAACTACATCAAACCAAGCATCAGGAGCACTTGATATTGGTCTCCCAAAGCAGTCCTGCCAAAAGAGAAACGCAGAAACAAATAACCACTTTACGAATTTAACATCCAACGCCATAACAATTATCCCCTTTTTTTTATCTATTCATCAAAATCCAACTATTACTGTTCGTGTAGTGTCGGATCCATATAGGAACTGTACACCATTTTCTCTATTCTCAATACTCAAACTCGAGATAGGGAATAAGTTGTGTTAGAGAGATATAAAATACATAATTTAGCCTCACCCAATACCTTAAGGTTTTGGGTTGAAGTGATTTTTTACATGATATCAGAGCTTCAGTGACAACAAGATCACAAAGCCCATTATTGGTCTGCCTTGTGTTGCACAAGCCCAGTTTTTTTATCTGCCTTGTGCTTTTCTTAATTCCACCTGAAAGTGGGAGGCGGTGAGAATCGAACTTGTGACCTCCCCGACCTCCCCAAAATCTTAAGGGATTGGGTGATGCTAAATTAATTATTTTATATCTCTCTAACACACCCGCTCAAGTAAGAGCCCTTTGGGCTTGAAGCGTGGATATGACACAAGCTCATTTTTGGTCTGCCTTGTGCTACACAAACCCTTTTTTGTTTTTCTGCCTTGTGTTTTTTTTAATTCCACCTGAAAGTGAGGTGGTGAGGATCGAAGACCTTGTGGTCACTGAAGCACCACTTCAACCTTAAGGTATTGGATGAGGCTAAATTAATTATTTTATATCTCTCTAACAAATTATTTATCACTTGAAAATGGTTACTAGGTAACATGTATACGCTTTAGCTTGACACATACAGAAATTGCTTTGGCACACCAAAAATCACGAAATGCACTCGAAATGAAAAATTGAGGGGGGGGGGGGGGGGGGGCGCAATTTTGGAGCTCTTACAATATTTTAATTTCTAATTTTCTTACAAATGAAATTGATAGAAATAAAAAAAAAAATAGAAAAGGAAATACCTGAATACGAAGGTATAATCGGCGGATATAAAAATCCTCGAGTCCTAAGCAGATCGGGGCGTAACCCTGAAAGAAGGCGTTGGTATAATAAAACGCAAGCGATGCGATGCGTGCAGAGAGAGAGAGAGAGAGAGAGAGAGAGAGAGAGAGAGAGAAGAGGAACCTGAAGATTGTTGGAGCTGCACCAGTCGAAGATTTTGCGAAAGAAATCTCTGAACTGGCCGAAGGCGAAGAGCAAGCCATAGCTGAAGTAGGTTGTTAACGCTGTCAGATACGGAATCGATATCATCTCTCGATCACAAACTTAAATCGCCGATCACAACCAGATCGATCTGCTAGAGAGAGAAAGCGAGAGAGAGAGAGAGTGAATTTTTTTATTTTTTATTTTTTATTTTTTTGTCTGAGAAAAATATATATAACAAAACAGTGCGGGAACAAGCTGAAAAGGCTTCGTTTTCGGAGGATAAAGGAGGAGGAAAAAAGGATTTTTTGTTTTGTTTTTTTTCTTCTAAAATTGTTGATAGGGACAGGTTAAGGAGGAAGATATTGGAACTTTCAAATCTCTTATCAGTATCACTCGTTTATGATGAGGTTGAGTTGCCGTTTTTGAAAATTAAAATGGCAGGTTTGAACAACGAATTATTTGGACCATACTTTTCAATATCTATCTTATAAAGCCATATTTTACAATTGCAATCGAACTAAAAAATATCATGAAAAAATGTGTGTCATTTTAAATGATGTAAAATTGTGTATAAAAAAAAATAGATAAAGAAAAAAAAGAATTGACAAAAAAAAATATCACGAAAATTCGTGTTCGGGTTGACCCGCAAAAAAATTCGTGTCGTGTTCGTGTTGGAAAAAATGACACGTAAAAAATTCGTATGGTGTTCGTGTTGATGTATTCGTATTCGTGTTGACCCGTATTTTTTTAAAATTATTTTATTTTTAATTTTTTATTATTATTATTTTCATTTTTTTTAATATCGATCCATTTTAAAAAAAAAAAATTGTCAATTACCATTTTGACCCCTATTTTGCGTGTTATTCGTGTCTTGTCAACCCGCAAAAAATTCGTGTCGTGTCAGTGTTGAAGATTTTGATACGAATAAAAATTCGTGTCGTGTTAGTGTTGATGTATTCGTGTCGTGTCGACCCGTTTTGACACCCTTATTTCCAGGACAAACTTTTGACTCCCTTCTACCAAACATGGCCATTTCACATTGGCAGGCTCACTTTTCCGGGAAATTAAAATATGTCATCCTACCAAACACCCCGTTAGTGTTTGCATTTATTAGATTAGGGAAAGGTTTAATGTTTCTATAGTGAATATAAATAAGTTATCTACATTCACTCCCAAAACGATATCGTTTTGGGTTGAAAAATTAAAAAAAAAGTATAATAAAAAAGATTATTACAAACTGAAATAAATTATAATTACAAATATTTTGAATAAGACTATTAAGAGGGATTAGGAGTGTGTAAAAAATTAAATCAACCGAAATAAAGTGTAATTGATTTGAACTGCATTTAAAGAATTATATTTTTTGGATGGACCATCATTTTTTTCTTTTTGAAATTGTAATCTAAAGATGATAGAAAAAAATATATAAAATAAGCATAAAAAATAGATGTAATATCTTTCTTTTTTTATGAATGTATTCAAGAATTGAATTTATTTTTTTAAAATGGGTTCATCGAACTATTGATGAACTAAATTAAATCATACCACATTTTTTTAAACTAATTTAAAAATTAAATATTTTTTTCGGAATCGATTTAAGATCTGAAGTGAACTATTCTTTAAAATTGGTTTGATTTTTCCAAACCAAATTATTTTATTTTTTCCAACCGAAACGTACAAACCCTTAAAAATACAACGACAATTTTGGCATAGCCATGAAAAAAAGATACAATGTTCATAAAGTTTTGAAAATGATAAACTAAAAATTTAATATCATTATTCATTATACTTTATATTTCAAAGAGACAAAAATAAAAGAAAGGATATTTATTATATCTACTATTTTTTTTATGTTTATCCTATCTATTTCTCTCCAATACCTGCTAGATCACAATATTAACTAAGATTCATAGTTTATCTCTCTTCTTTATAATTATAATCCAACAATATTAAAAGGAATTAGTAGAATAGACATGAAAAAATTACTCACAATATCTTATATTGAAGTAATATTATGGAGTGTATTGGATTAAGATTTTAAAAGATTATATAGAAATATAGTGACTTTAAAGACTCTTTTTACAATCAAGATTTTATAAGATATGATTTTAAAGGATTGTAATAGAATTTATAAGATTTGAAATGACAATATGGTTTTATAAGACTTCAAAAAATCATATGAATTTTTAACAAACATTCAAAATTACAAGAATCAATAAAAAAATAACAAATAAATGCATTGATATTAATTAAAAAAAGTAAAACCTAATATAATTTTCTCAATCGGTATTTTGATGTAACTTGATGTCCTACTGAGCATCAGTTCTCCACATATTTAAAATTATACTAGCCTTCCACTCATTAGCATCTTCTTGTTCTTACTCTTGAGTTTGACCAATGGGTTAAAAATTATCTTCTTCATTAACTGGTGATACTAAAGATGAAGATGCATCTATTGGTTCAATTGAAAATTCATTTGAACAACATTCTTTGTGAAGAAAGTTGTGTAGTGCTACACATGCTAACACAAGCTCTGCCTGTGTTTTAAATGAAAACGGAGGTATTGACTTAAAAATTGCGAACCATGATTTAAAAATGTCAAATAGCCTCTCAATTACATTTCTCAATGATGCATGACGAAGATTGAACAATTCATTTGCATTTTGAGGGTCATTACCATGACCTTTAAAATCTTCCAGATGATATTGCACACCTCGAAATGGAGCTAAAAATTAGTGTCGATTGGGAAATCCACAATCCACTAGGAAATATTTACCTAATTTGGAATCTCTTTTATAGCATCCTAAATATTAGTTTCTCTTTCTATATCTCTCTCTTTTCTCCATTAGGTTGGATATTTTTTCAAAATTGAAAACAACTATAACAACACGTTATGTACTGGTATTGTTAACATTAATTATGATATTAAGCGCAGTTACAATCACAGCAGATTATTTAAAAAATATGAGTAAACTTTTTCCTTTTTATTACGTATGCAATTTTAAACAATAATAATACGTAATGATAAAAAATGTGATCGCAACTGAAAACTAAACACGAAATTAATATAATACATGCTTAACTATCATACATTACTTATTTTAAGTTACTAAGAGGTTTCTGTAAATCCACTTAGCATAAATCTCACTTTTTCCACATTCCTAATTTTGAGTATGCTTCTTTCTTTTTATTACTGGGAGTGGCCCACAGATTATTAATTTTTCATCTTTTATTATTTTAAACTAGACTCAATTATATTTTCAACAAGGTATCACACGCCTCAATTGGAGTTCTCTAGCTCCGGTTATAACCGTTTGAAGTTAGACAAGCAAAGTTGTCAACCAACTCCAAACAGAGCACAAAACAACCTTCACCATTTCTGCAATTTCCAACGATTTACTCAACCAATTTCTTTCAAACTTTTATGCAGGATACTAGACACCTTGAGCTTTAATTTGATGTTTCATAAGCCTAATTTGAGTAAAAATTGAGGGAGAAACAATTTTTGAAAATAGGGGACTCGAATAGCCCCTGCACTCGAGCAGATTGGGTAATTTGTGTTCTCTTCATCCTATAGGATGCTATACAACTCTAAATAGTACCAAATTTTAGGACAAAAAAACTGACATCTCAACCTTTAAATTGGTTTATGACATGTCCCAATTGAACTTATATGGAGGGAGATATACACTCCCAAAATAGGCCTAAAAATTGATCATTTCTTAGAAAATTCGACGCCATCTCCTTTGTTTTATTAACTAATCTCACTTTACCAAAGTGCGTCCTATATCATCAAATGGTACCCAATTGACAAGGGTGGCACTAAAGGGTCAATGAATCTTGTGCTCTTACAACTTACAACATATTTACATCATTTACTTAATTAACTCACAATGTAATTCATTCTTAGTTATTAAACCTCATGAAACTCATTTCAAACACTTATTTCCATTTCATGTATTTACATCATTGGACAGCATCATCATAACCTAGAATATGCCTATGGCCCTTCCATCACATACATACATCATTACTTTACACAAGGTCCATCATACTTTAAATTACAATTCTCCAAATATCAAATATAACTACAACTAAAATGCTCCAAATATAACAATGTTTATAAAACACTAGACTTAGCCAAAATACAACATGAACAATAAAAGCATAGTACATATCACACATGCAATATAAAATGTTCATACTCTAAGTCTAACCTATCCAATACAACCCAAAATGCAAAATGACATAAACAATAATGCACTCCATATGCTCTCCATGTCCTCAACCTGTGGGCCTCTTGCCTAAGACTCCAACACCGCTACAATCACCTGAAACATAGCCCCATAACGCAAAGTGAGATATACAAATATATCTCAGTAATCCAAAGATTCTGGAGGATCATTCCAACCAATGGCTTACTCAGATGTAAAATCACAATAATGCACTATACACATATCATACACAATCATACGGCCCAATAGCCTACCGTAGACGGCATACGGGCTCTCATCCAAGAATATATCCCCGGGATATCATTCAAGGCACCCAACAACTATAACTTCCGAGACATTCCTAGAGTGCTTCTCAACAGATCATAACTCTATGGCCCTAGGCCAACTGGAACTCCCTACAGAGGCCTCTCCAATAGAAGTCCCCTACGACATACTACAACTATCTACTAACCAAAGATACGGTACAACACTATGTACCCAAACAACAACACATGCATGATCATGTTATACTTACATTGTTGCATCAAACAACTTCCAACCACTACCCTAATGGGAACGGTGGAGCACACACGGGGATTAACCTCAGTACCAAGAGATTACCTTTAAACTTGCTTCCTTTTCCAATTCGCTTAGACACCAATAGATTATCCAAGCTTACTTGACTCAACCAAGTCACATATTAAAAATGACATTTCCCACTTATTTCGTAACTTACAATATATACATATTACTACTAACAACCACTAAAAACATGTTTCTTTAACTTGAAGAAATCATATTATGCCTTGTGTACTTTAAAATCTTCAATTAAAGTAACTCCCTTATTAACTTTCATATTTTTTTTTGGTACATATTAACTTTCATATTAATTTGCCAATTCATGCCATCCAAAAAGTCATAACTATAATCTCATTAATTCTTACAAATCATACATAATAGGAAATTAACCTAATTTATTAGATTAACTTTAGTTTTAATACTTTCTGTAAAATTATTTATACTTAATTTGTTCTAAAATTCTGATATTTTACCAAAATCTAGATGTCAATAGCTTTTCAACGGTATATTATAAGCCTCATTTGGATTTATACATCCCAAATTATGCCCTTAGTAAATCAATATGTTCCAAAAATCTATTTTTAAAAATAGGGCAGAACATTAAAAATAAACTAGGATCGATTCACTTTTCTAAAAATTCTACCACTCTTCAAAATTAAACTTCTTTGTGTTAAATTTACACAGGTTCAAGCCTTACTCAATTTGGAGCTCTATAGCTCAAGTTATGCATATTTTACTATAACACGTTACTGTCTAAGGCCTATGACTGCACCATTGTCTTCATTTCACGGCTAATTTTCTCTACTCAAAAATTGAAATTTGATTTTTACTTCTTCACAAAAGTTTTAGATTAGGGTCTTATATTTTCAAAACACTTGAGAAAATCCTAATCCCATATCTGTAACTCCAGATACTTTCAAATTTCTGAAGCAGTGCCAGAATCCATGACAATACCGTTATAAAAAATTGGAGCTCTGATTAAGGTTTTTTAACTACCCAATCAGATTTTGACCTCTTCATGAAAGTTGTAGGTATATTTCTAAGTTTTTCAAAACACTAAAGAATGTTCAAATCTAAGGTCTATAGATCAAGATATGAGCAAAAATCAAAACTATGTTCAATCAAAAAACTAAGTATTACAATTGTAATTATCAATCATCAAGAACCCATTTCTAATTCAACACTATTATACCAAATATACATAACCCATCATCAAAATTAAGCATAAACCATCATCAAAACTATTCCACCATCTCAATATCAATTCACTATACAATTCACCACTTTTTTCATCATAAATTTCGATCCAAGTATCATCCACCACACCAAAGTTTTTATTTGATTTCTACTTTTATATGTCAATGTTATCATTATTTTTCAAAGGAGCATTGTCATAAGATCCACCAAAACATCCCCACCACATTCAAAGATTCAAGAACACATCACAAAATTAGATTTCCATGAAAACTCAACCAAATTAGGAAAACTCATCATCAATGTGTTGTATTTGCTCCAAGGTTGAAGTTTCAAGTCTTAGATGACTCAAGACCACCTTCAATCACCACTTTTAGCACCAAAATTGTCCTCCCTTCCAAGGAATGATCTCCTCACACACTCATTTTCATGAAAAATTCAAGACATGAAAGATACTCACAAGCTCAAGACTAACAAGTTTCATGTTCAATGTTTTGCCTAAAGATATCTAGAATTCAAAATGAAAACTCAACCTATGTAATAATGAGGAAGGGGTCACAGTTTCAGAATTTTGAGGGAGGGGGACGTTGCTGTGAATGTGAGGGAGGAGAGAGAATTTCATGTATTTTTAAGTCACTTAAGTGTTTGCCATGTGTACAAGTGGACCCCACAATCAAATGACTTGTATATTCTCACCATACTTGTAAATAGCGCCGCTTTAGCGCGCTATAGCGGAGTTGCATTACGGTGCGGCGGCCAGCCGCCACAGACCGCGCCGCGACAGTCAGGAAAAGTGTAGCAGCTGTAGCGTGCGCTATTGCGGCTGAAATTGTAGCGCTATTACGCCGCTACAAGTGTTCTCGTTGTTGAAGGAAGAGAGCGTGTTGAGCTAAGAAAAGAGATCAGGGGTGTCGATCCTCGATTCTAGAACCTTTTTCAGTTTCCGAGACAAACCTTAAGTTCTTTGGTTTTGGCATTTCACTTAAGTGGAAGTTTGAATTTTGACTAATTTTGCCACTTTATTTTGTTGTGTTACATTATTTGAGACTTTAATTCCTTTAATTTTCTTATGATTTGAATTTTAATGTTTGAAATCATTTATGTTTGAGTTTCAGATCCTTCAAAATTATTTTTTATGTTACATTTTCATTTTGTAAGTTTTATTTTTGTGGAGTACAATTTAGTGTATCACTTAGGTATACTTTGCACAATAGCGTTGTAGCGCTACCCACTATAGTGCTATAGCAGTTTTGAGGGTTAGCCACTACGCGCCGCTATCCGAGATTAATAAGTATGATTCTCACTTAAACTCCCACTAATCCATGAATTAATTATTTCTTAAAAAATTCAATATTCACTACAGTCCATTAAATTTACTTTAACAGATGAATCTGAAATTTCCCGATAATGGTGTAAAATTATGATTTTACCACTAGTGATGCACCATTGGCACATTTTCCCAAAAACCTTAAAATCCATCAAAATAATATCACTAGTCATATTTCTTGACCCTAAGTACTTTTTCCAACTTCTATTCAAACTTAGAACACAAATTTCACTCAGCACGTTTTTCGGTGCAACTATACCACAATATTTTCATCCGGTAAAAATATAATTCATCACATTTCTAAAATTTTGCCTAACCACTCAATTTTTCGTTCTGAATATATTTTCAGGGTTACTTCTCTCATTTGAGGCCTTATTATATCATTTCACAGTTTAGGGTTACGTATTTGTTAAATTACTATTTTACCCTTCTTACGTATTTTGACCCAGAACTTAGGATTTTCACTAATCTTACCCCTTAATCCTCATCTTCACTTCTTACGTAACGGGTTGTTACATTTTATTGTGATATTAAGCGCAGTTACAATCACTATAGTTTATTTAAAAATACGAGTAAACTTTTTCCTTTTCATTACGTATGCAATTTAAAACAATAATAATATGTAATGATACAAACTGTGATCGCAACTGAAAACTAAACGCAGAATTAATATAATACATGATTAACTATCATACAATACTTATTTTAAGTTAATAAGAGGTTCCCATAAACCCACTTAACATAAATCTCACTTTTGCACTTTTCTAATTTTGAGTATGCTTTTTTCTTTTTAATACTGGGCGTGACCCACATATTATTAATTTCCCATTTTTTAATATGTTAAACTAGACTCAATTACCTTTCCAACAAGTGGTATCAAAGCAAGCCTCTCTTCCAGTACGGTGTGGTTCGAGGATGAACTAGGCTGAAGCTAGTGGGCATGTAACTTCCTGGGCGCTGACAAGGGCGGGGAGTGATTGCCGGTGCGCAAGGGCACAGACAAGGAGTGACTCTTAGCAGGCTTCCAGCGGCGGGGTACATGAATGAATCAAATCAACACCCGAAAGAGAGGGATTCCAGAGACTGTGCTGGTATAGGATAGTACAGTTGAGGATAACTTATAAGAATTAATTGATACTAGTTATACTAACAAGATGAATCTACTTTTCGGTAGACCATAACAGAAGAACTCTACTGCTAAGCGTGCTTGACTGCAGTAATCCTGGGCACCATCTCATTCCCCTTTAGATTCGAAGGTTCACATTAAAAAAGCAAGTCGCAATAAGTGAAGTATATCCGAATATAAATGGATTTCTACCTCTGTTGGGACCAACAATCAAGCTAAAGTTCTAGATAATCTTTCAATTGGCATTGAGACTGTTGTTGTAACATCACGGGCGCTGACGAGGGCGGGAAGTGATTGCCGGTGCGCAAGGGCACGGACAAGGAGCGGCTCCTGGTAGGCTTCCAGCGGCGGGGGTACATGAATGAATCGAATTAACACCCGAAAGAGAGGGATTTCAGAGACTATGCTGATATAGGACAGTACAATTGAGGATAGCTTATAAGAATTAATTGGTACTACCTATATTAACAAGATGCATCTACTTTTCGATAGCCCATAACGGAAGAACTCCATAGTGAAGCGTGCTTGACTTGCAATAATTCTGGGATGGGTGACCTCCTGGGAAGTTTTTCCGAGAAGTGTGTAAGTGAGGACAAAGCATGTTGAAAACTCTCGTGTTAGTGTGTGAGGATAGTCATTGATGCTTGGGGCGGCCAAACGTTACAGATTCATATTTATTTGATGCTATGAAGGCATCATTGAGAGGATCATACACAAAGTTTTCCATCCTGAATTTCATATTTTCTTCTCCAAAAGTTATAGCATCGGTATCATTAGTGCCTAATGCAATGGAACCATTCCCAGTAGCAGTTGCACCACCAAAGACAATCTTCAATTTTTCATAACCAATGGCACTCTTTTCACAAAGCTTACTATGACTTGGATGAGACTGATAAATGAAAAAAAATTCATTATAAATATATTGCAAATAATGTAATTTACTAATCTAGTAAGCTATTAATATATTAAAATAATTATGAACTAATAAGTTCACCTTCAAGTAATCTTCCCATACTTCATCACTAGCAGTGAACGTCTTTGTAACTGTGTCCCACCTAAAGCCAGAGTTGTTAAGATAAGCGTCAACATTTTGTTATATTGGTTCTTCAACCACTTTAGCCGACTCAAGTAATGATTATGAGTTTTAGGAAACCTGGTCTTTGCATTAAGATGATGAAGTATCACTCTTTCTACATTTTGTTGCTAAGTGATCCATTAGCATCACACAATCCATTGTCGATAACATCCACCAAGAGGTGCAAAAACTCATTAGTATAATACATGGTCCAAGGTTCATATTTCTCTTTCTCTTTGCCCTTTCCTTTCTTATTTCCTTGTTGCGAATCCCCCATTTAATATAATAAAATTAAACTAGACAATAACTAAAATAATTTAAAATGAGATCAATATCAAGACAATTTAAAAACATGTTTATTCTAATAACAGTTTATATTAAAAAAGGAAGTGGTAATGATAAATAACAGGAATCTCATATGTTATACTGTGTGCTATGACTTCAGAAATATTTACCGGCAACATACCGTTTGTACAAATTCTACACAGTATAAATGTTAGGTTTATAGATGAATAAGTGATAGCACAAAACTAGTTATATAACTCATAGGTACTCACCAACCCAATCTCACGAATCCGAATGATTATATAATATTTACCAACTTCAAAAGAGTAAACCAAACCAACGTTAAATAGTTCAATCAACAAACAATAAAAAAGGATTGAATAAGCTAACGATAATGTAAGGAAAAAACACATAAGAAAAACATAACACATACATTATTGTCTCCGATTGAGATCAGATACATATATAAATTGCATAATAAATATGTTTATCGTCAACTTTACGATAAATATATCAAAATAAAATGGAACACATCATTAGAGACGACAAACACAACCATAAATCATGAAAGAGGAATTCCAAAATCAGAGAAAATATATGAGAGTAAAAATAGAACATACCTTGACTTTGAGCAAAGGCTAGAGTATGAGAGTTTACGGTCTGGATTGGATTGGTTTTGGAAGCAAAAATCATCTGATCTAATCCCTTCGATTTGATCATGTAATCATCCATTTGGTTTGAATTTTTTTTCAAATCTGATTCGATCCAATCCAATTTTTTTCGGTTTGGATCAGTTTTCAGTTTTTTTTGAAAATCCTAAAATTTGTTTCATGATTATTGTGCAAATAACATATTTTGTATATATTGGCTTTGTAAAAAAAATAAAATTGAAATACAAAAGCATCATTAAACGATAATATAATTTTTTTTAGGCAATGAGATACGAAACTCTACGGAGATAAAATTTTGTTGATGAGATGTGACTTTATTTTTTCTTGGGTTTAGAAATTTTTGGGCTATGATAGGGAAAGACCCAAGTAGGTATAGAGGAATTAATATATTGGATTGGTTTGGATTGAATCGGTTTTCATCAACCCATCCGAAAATCGATCCAATCCAATTAAAAGTTGCGATTCTTGATTTTTTGATTTTCGATTTTCGATTTATTCGGTTATCGATTTTTCAGTTTGGTCACCGCGGTTTGAATCGGTTGATAAACACTTTTAGGCTAGAGTAGGTTGTGAGATACTGCAGTAAAGAAATCTCAAAAAATTCTAGGGATTATGATGAGATTGTGAGAGAGACAAACTATTTATACTTCTCACTAAAAAGTCTTACAAAATCCATATTAATATTTGTCAGATTTTTTAATAATACCATAATATTATTTTTCCTTATCTTGATTAAATACCATCGGATTTGGACGAAATTTGAAATGATTTTTTAAAATTTTAATCGAATATCACGTGATTTTTTTTTTAATCTTTTAAATTCTTAATTGAATACTAATCAATTTTTTATCCAAAAATAATCCATTTAAATCTCAAACCAATACATATTCCTACTTTGAAAAATCGTAATTAGGGTCCGCAATTGGGACTAACCTAAGCGAAGCCAATTGATGACAGTGTCCTCTTGGGTTTGAGAGAGACTGGGTGGTGTGCTACTTGTACTGTGCCCAGTCCCCACTAAACCCTAACGTTCCCCAATCTACAAATTCTCACACAGATCCATGGCCGAACTCAAGAACCAGCAAGAACCCGCATTCCCCTCCAAGCGCAAACTCGATTCAAACACCGATGACCTCCCAAACAAAGTTCCCAATCTTGCAACTTTGGACAACAACGAAGCCCAAGAACCCAACCCCATTTCGGATAACAACAATTCCGAACTTCCCAGCACCACCAATTGTTCTTCCGAGAAGGAAGGTGGCAACGACGACGACGACAATGAGCTCGAAAACGACGATGAATTCGACGACGATGAAGAGGAAGATGAGGATGAAGAAGATGAAGAGGACGAGGTGGACCGAAAGGGAAAAGGGGTTTTGCGTGATGACAAGGGGAAAGGGAAATTGATAGAGGAAGAAGAAGAAGATGATGATGATGACGATGACGATGATTCCGGTGATGACGGGAACGTTTCCGGCGGCGACAGCGATTTTTCTGATGATCCACTTGCGGAGGTGGATTTGAATAACATTCTTCCGTCGAGGACTCGGCGGCGTACGGCTCATCCCGGAGTGCACATTGCTAGTGATATGGGGAATGTTGGTGGGGACGACGATGATGATAGTGATGATAGCGATGCTTAAAAAGGTTAGTGAGGTTCTAGAGAAATAGTTGCTACCATTGTATTGGATTAGTTCTGTTGTGGGCTATATGATGAGAACTGTTTTTTCTTTTTCTTTTCCTTTTTTGTTCTTGGGCACAACGCGGTTTTTGTTGTTTCGTTTGGGAATTAATGCTCAAATTGTGCAACTCTCCCACCGTTGTTCTCTGATCTTTTGTGCTTGAAAGTGCAAGGTAGTGTACGGTTAGCCACGTCCCAGTGATATGATGTTTTGAGGTAATTGAAAACCAAAGTGAGAGAAAATATTATTGAAATCTATGGCCATTGATTTTTCTGTTGAAGTTTTAGAGTATTAGGTGAAGTATACTAGACTATTTACCAAGTTCATAACATGGCATATCATATATATATGCTAAGGACCGAACAGCTGATTTCGCCTGATTCCAGGAATGAAAAAGTACTTAATGTTGACTTTTATAGTGCATGATATCTACTTATTATGGAATGCAGGCAATATGTAATGGTAATCCTTAATGGTTTATAAGTTGTGGTAACTCCTCCTTAATGGTTTCTATCAGATTCATCATTTTGTGGAGGGCAAGTGAGGAATATGGGCTAGACTTTTCTACCATTGGTTGCATTTACCCTGCTTCTCATGAGAATGTAACAATATACTAATTCCTGGCAAAAGGATTGTGAGATCTACATAGTCGCTTAAGCAGTTGTATGCTTGTCTGATTGTTCTAGTTGTTTCTGGTTGCAAGAAACCTTCATCTGTTAGTTAATGTCTGATTATATTTCTTCTTTTCTTTTAAAGTGATTGTATTTCTTGTTGGTATCTTACAACTTGTTAACAAAATTGAAATGCATGACAATTAGCTCAAGTTTATCTAAAGTGAATATGACTGTTACCTTTTTTTCATCCATCCTTGACTATCCCAGATATGCTTAGATGGTAGAGAAGTAGGGTTGGTAGTTGTTCAGTTGGGTTCCAAACTCAAAATCGAATTGTAATCAAACAGATTTTAAAGGTTCAGTTTTTCAGAATTGTGGTAAAAAAACTGGTTTTTGGGTTTGGTTAATCAGTTCATAACCGGGGGGGAAAAAGGTTAAAATCCGAACCAGAATACAGTTCCTGTAATCTTGTGTATTCCAATTCTGTCTATCAAGGGGAGGGTGGTTAGGTAGAGATTCTCTTCAAGGCTTGAGAATCATTAGATCAAGTGTTGGATTCTCCTTCGTTGTGCTGATTTTATTTCATGTTAATTTAGAATCTTTAGGTCGATCATAAAGGAGTATAAGAAGATCCACAGTTACATAATATTTGTTCATTGCTGGTTCACCATTATAGCGAGTAGGACAATGTCGAGGTACAACACCCGGCTAGTCCTTCTGCTAGGAAAATGAAAAAGAATGATTTTGACAAAAATCAGGGAAAACCAAACTTGCATATGGTAAATTAGTGAGATTTGGTTTTTTGGTTTCTATGTAAATATACATCAGGATCTTCAAATAAAAAAACGGAGCTCAAATTCGAGTTTTTTCCTTCTTCTATTTTTGTTGTTTTTGTTTCTTTTTCTTCTAGTTGTTGTTGTTCGATGCTCAACTTAATGGCATAAGCAAAGATTTTGAGTATGTTTGATTGTGTTTTGGCTTTTTTATTCTTAAATTTTTTTTGTATAATAGTTAATAAAATATGTGTTTTCTATTTTTTATTTTTTTTGAAAATTAAAAGTAAAAACATAAAATAAATAGGGTGAGGTTATATTTACTACTTATTTTTCTTACTTTCTGTTACTATCAAATTTTAACCGTTGATTTCTGTCAATCTAACGGTTGTAATTTATCGGGTTCATATTTATTAATTAATTATTAATTTACAATAAATTATAATTGTTAGATTGGGGAAAATCAACAGTTAAGATTTGGTAGTAACAGGTAATAAGTAGTAAGTATAATCTTTTCTAAATAAAATAACTTAGATATGTTTTCTAAATTTGATTCTAAAAAAAAAAAAAAAATGCAATTTTTTTAAAAAAATTTATTTACGAAATAGGTCTTATCGAAAACATGTTTTTTAATTATTGTTCTGAAAATTAAAAAATTATTTTTTGAAACTGAATTCAAACAGCCCATTACACTACTTATTTACAACAAAGTAATGAAAAAGTCAAACCATTTTGATTAAGTTAATAGTGGTCCACTAAACCTAATGTTACGAAAAACTAATTGCGCCTATTTGAGATTAAGAGAACTGAATTGAATAAAATTGATTCTAATGGTTTGAGTACTTTTGGTTCAGTTTACTGTGATTCGTATGTTTAGTTCGGTTTGTTATTTATTTTGCCCTATAGATAAATTCAGTTACACGTAATATATGCCCATTTTAATTTATGGTTTTTATGATATAAACTATCAGCATTATGGGTTGAATTTCCCAAACCTCCTATGGAATATTCTAACGTTCTTGAATAAATTGGACCGTCCTCTGGTTGAGCTTCCTTTTTATGAAATTTAGAATGTATTATTTCGCCAAGTTTGGTTTACAATCACTCAGTCACATCTGAATACGAAGTGGGGTGAAGTTATAAACTATTATTACCCATTCCCTATCATATTTAGATTCCGGTATGCACAGAGCTCATTTGTTGGGCTTTTTAAAAAAAACAGCTTTTATATCTTACTTATTTTAAAAAAAATTTACAAAAGATAAAGCTATTTAGATTTTTAAAAGAATATTTGGTTTTTGAACAAAAAATATTTGACTTTTGACTTCTGCTTTTTTTAGAAGTTAAAATGTTTAGCTTCTGAAAAAATAAATTTTTGACTTTTTTTGTGACTTTTTTGTTTTTTTTTTAAAGCAAATATCTAAACGAATTTATAGTGAAAAGTGATTTTTTTTCTTTAAAAAAAGCAATTGTCGAAAGGCTGTGCTACAAATGGCTAGTAGCTTTAACTGCATGTTTGTTATACCTGTGGAATTTGAAGTGGGCCTACCCATGTTACATAAAAAGAAATTTGCTAAAATTCAACTTCAAGCCCAGTTTGATTTATTATGGTAATAGAATTATAGGCCGGCCTTGTGTGTGGAGTGTGGACCAATTTATATGTAATATGAACATCGTACGGTCCAAACAAATTGGAACATCTTAAGCTCCTCTAAGTTACAAAGCACTGAACATGTAGGCTAGGTTTTTAAACGGGAGGCTTAAATAGATGGAGCTTTTTTCGCATGTTAACCCAATATGTTTGGTCTAGTGGTAAGGGATTTGAATATTTTTATTAGATTATGGGTTCAATTTTCACTTATATCAAAAAAGAAAAGTTAATTTAAAGATTAAATTATATGAGAATGGTTATATTGACAAACAAAAAATTTACAAACTATACTATGTACTATGGGTAGTACATGCCAACACACAATGTACTACTCATAGTACATAATGTAATTTGTAGGTTTATAAAAAAAAAAAACTTTGTCAATATACTTTTCCCCAAATTATATTATCACATAGCTACTTTAAGCAGTTATTGAGTTTCCTATTATAAAAATGTCAAAAAACTGTCAACACTTTCATATCAGTTTGGTATATATCTCCTTAAAAAAGTCCAAAGATAATATCTATGTGAAAACTTTATCATTAAATTCATTATTCTCATTTTTAAAAACAATGAAATACTGACTTTAAGCTTTTTTTGTTTTTCCCCTTTTTTAACTCATGCATGTTAATATTTTCCCAATTCTAAACTTGGACCTGCAGAAATGTGCAGCATAGATATGCAATGGTGGGTTTGGCTTTTGACAAACTTTTCTTTTCATTTATCATACAAGGGCAAAGTGGGTGACATCACCACACCATTATTTATGTGGTCCTGTGTTCTCCCTCATTCTATCCATTCATTTCCCTCATCTTTTTTTTCTTTCTTTTTTTTGTTACTTTTCAATGTTTACCATTACTTGCAAGATTGAATGCTGGGGTGGTATAGTTTGGTGCAACAGAAGTGGGGACTTCTTGTGTTTCATTTTCCTTCAGAAAAAGAGTGAGATCTATCCAATTCAACAGTTTAATCATCCACCCTCATAAAAGCAGGACCATCATGCATTCGTCATGCGTTATGATACCGCATGCTGCCCCATTCTAGTGTTGAGCACCCATTTTTGTGGGTCTCTTCTAACATCTAGTTAACTCCTCCCATAGAGGCATTTATTAACAAGATTATACTTTTTTTGCAATTTAATTTGTTTGTTTTATTTATTTTTGAGTTTTTCTAATACTGGATTGAGCTTTTATCATTTGGCTTAAAAAAATATAAATTAGGGCTATATTTTTTCTATTTAAGTTTATCATTGAGTGCTACGATTTGATCTCACGTCAAACCTATAGGGGCTTTCTAGTTTCTACTGTCAAATATGAATTAACTTAAAAATTCTAAAGCAAACTTTACCGTAGTTTTCCCCTTTTTTTGGAGGGATCCTCTAATATATTGAGGTATAGGGAATCAAATGCTATAAAGAGACATGTAGATAAAAGATCATTTTCAAGTCAATCAATTAGTACGGGATTATTTCAACTTAATCAATGATTTCGAGTTCGAGTTATTAATATACAACTGTGATGGTTCTATTTGACTTGACCGAATTAATCAATAAATCAATAGAGAATTTAAAATAAAATAAAAAAAATCCTCTTCCCCTTTCATCCTTACTATTTTCTTTATAAAATATCTAGCAAACCAGAAAGTGCGATTTAAACACCTAAACTGTCTCCATCTAAATGGTTTTTTTTTTAAGTGATTGAATCTCAATTCCTATTATTGTGAATGGTGTTTTAGACTGTAAATACTTTTAATGTTATCGTTTTGATTTGCATATTACTTTGTTATGTGTTATCCCAAAATGTCCAGTTAATTTAGTACAATAAGCAATTTTGGATATGTGATGTGATTTTATTGTAATTATTTTTGTGACTTCAATCAACAATTACGGCCGAAAGAGGAGTTGTACCCAAATAATGTTTGGGAAAAGTGTGTATAATTTTAAAGGATGTAAAGTTGTGTCATTTTAAGAGAGAGAAAGAGATAGATAAAGGAGGAGAGAGAGTTGACCAAAATAAATAAATGTGTGGGTCCCACCTCTTTGTGAGAGTGAAAGGATGTAAGTTGTGTAATTTAAAAGTATATACACTTTTCCCATAATGTTTACCGCACCAAATATTCAATCGGTGTTGTATCTTCATTAGGGGTGGCAATATAGATTTTGACCCGCGAGTTCACGCGTGACACGGCACGTCAAAACACGTGTTGTGTCAACCTACGGGTCGTGTAAATGTGACCCTTTTTTTTCGTGTCGGGTCACGTGTCAACCCGCAGGTTCGCGTGTCAACCCGTACAGTGTCATTTTTTTAATTTTCAATTAAATATTTTATTATATTATTATTTTTATTCATTTATATATTGATATATATAGTCATTGTTTAGTATAGAAAAGAATAGAAGTAACTAAAAATTCCAAAAAATAGAAGCTAATCTATTTTTATTTTTTTATTGTTTTTAATTTATTTATTTTTCAAAAAAATTCACTTTTTTTTTTAAAATTTAAATTTTGTGGGTCGTGTCAGAGTTCATGTTTTGTGACCCGTTTATAAAACGGGTCGTGTCAAATAGTGTATAGGTCGAAAACGTGTCGTGTCGTGTCGGATTGATCCATATTGTCATCCCTAATCTTCACTTCATTAACCCTAATTATCTTTTTTTTTTTTTTTTTTTTGTAAATACCCTAAATTATCTTTTAGCGGTGGTGTTAGCCTAGGTAAGTTCACGTTCGCTGCGACATCAAGTCCCACATTACATAAGGGAGATTTATTAATGGA